TTGGGACCATTTGGGGAGTGAACGAATTGATGAAAGACTTCTCTCTTTCTCTCTCTGTCTCTGCCTCACTATAATTCTGCCTTTATTTTTATAAATAAATAAATATTTTTTTAAATATATCTGAAAACTAACAGATGAAATGAAACCGTACACTTCATACAAGAAAGCAGTAAACAAGAAAACAAAAGACATGAAACCAGCATAGAACATATAGGAAAATGGGTCTCCCATGTGGATGCAGGGGCCCAAGGACATGGGCAATCCTTCACTACTTTTCCAGGCACATTTGCAGGGAGCTGGATCAGCAGTGGAGCATCAGGGACTTGAACCAATGCCCATATAGGATGTTGGCATTGTAGGCAGCAGTTTATCAGCTACACCACAGCGCTGGCCCCAAAATAAATAAATTATACATACATATATATATATATAAATTATTCACACCCATGTGGATTTATACAAGAAATACAAGTTTGGTTTAACATCTAAAAATCAATATAAATTTCAATAATAGAATAATACTAGAATAGAGCAAAGCTTACTTTTCCTATGTGGGGCCAGGTTAGAAAGCTTTTTAGGCTTTGTGACCTGTATAATCTGTTGGAACTACTCTATTTTTCTCTAGTGTCCAGTGCAGCCATAGACAGTAGATAAAACAGACATGACTCTGTTGCAATAGGTGCTGAGATTTGAATTCCATATAATTGTCACAGATCACAAGGTAGCATACTTTGAGTTTTTTTCAACCATTTAAAAATGTAAAAGTCATTCTTAATTTGTTGACTGTAAAAACAGGCAGCAGGAGTGATTTAGCCCTTGGGCCATAAATTGCTGACCTCTGGAGTAAAGAACAAAAACCACATGATCATCTCAGTGTGATAGGCAGCAGCCACAAATGGACTCCAAATAATCCCCACCTCCTGCTGCTACTCACACCCTTGTGTAATTCTTTCCCCTAGAGAGTTAACCCTGACTAGTGATTGTTTCTAACAATAGACTTGGGAAAGGGGATGGATGTGACTTGGATATTAGGTTACAGAAAGACTGCTCTGCTCTGCTCCGCTTTCATTCAGGGCTCTGACACTAAGAGAAGCAAGCTGCCCTGTTAATGCCTCTTTGGATAGGCTCACTGCTAGGAACTGTGTCTCTAGCAATAGCCAGCAAAGAACTGAAACCTACCGAAAGCTATCAGTATGCTTGTAATTGGATCTACTGAGCTCTGCCAGCAATCACCTCAGTAAGCTTGGAAAAAGGGTCTAAACACAGTTAAGTTTTGAGATGGTTGCAGCATGACCTTGGTTGCAGTCTTGTGACAGACCGAGTCAGAAGCAACATACTATGCTGCCTGTATTCCTGACCCACATAAACCGAGATAGTAAATATTTGTTCTAAGATGATCAATTTGGGGGTAATTTGTTTTGCAATAGTAAGTAACTCATGTGAGAGATTTTAAAAAAAATCTTCTAAGTTTAGGGACAGGCACTTAGCAGTTAAGATGCCATTTCTCCTATCAGAGTACCTGAGTTCGATATCTAGTGTCACTTCCTGACTCCAGTTTCGTGCTGATGCAGGCCCTGGAAGGCTGTGGTGACACCTTGAAGTAATTGGGTTCCTACCACCCAGATAGGCCTGGATTGAGTTGCAGGCTCCTAGCTTTAACACAGCCCAGTCCTGGCTGTTGCAGGCATTTGAGAAGTAAACCAGTGAATGAAAGATGTGTCTGCCTTGCTTCTCTGCCTTAATTAATGAATGCATAAAGGGTTTTTTTAAGATAAGTTTATTTTGATGCAAAAAAATGCGAGAGGGGCTGGCATTGTATAGTTGGTTAAGCCACCACCCACGATGCTGGCAACCCATGAGTACAGATTCAAGTCTCAGCTGCTCCACATCCTGTCCAACCCCCTGCCAATACACTTGGGAAAGCAATAAAGGATGGACCAAATGCTTGATCCTCTGCCACCCAGATGGAGTTCCAGGATCCTGGCTTTAGCTTGATTCAGCCCTGGTAATTGTGGCCATTTGGGAAGTAAACCAACCAATGAAAGATCTCTCTCTCCATCCCCCATTACTCTGTCTTTCAAATACATGAATATTTTTAGTTTTTTAAAAATCTGTGCATATAAGGAAACTTCAAAAATTCATTCAAAAAATAAATATTATGAAAAAATACATTCATTTCAAATATTTTACATCAAAATAAATTTATATTTCAATTATATTTCTCATGAAGTACTTTCATACATTAGTGGACACAAAAAAAAGCACATGGCAAGATCAATAGCCATTCATGCTAAAAACAAATATGTAGAAGAGAATTTTCTCAACCTGATCATATTGCTATTATCATAATAGTGAAAAAATGATTTCCTTCTAAGCTCAGAAACAAGGAAAGGATATTTACCTTCTCTAGTTCTAGTCAGTATTCTGTTGGAAGATCTAACCATCCAATAAGTTAACCCCCCCAAAAAAACACACACTGAGGGGATGACATTCAGTGTAGCAGGTTAAGCCATTGCTTCAGATGCCCACATTCTTTTTTTTTTTTTTTTTTTTACAGGCAGAGTTAGACAGTGAGAGAGAGAGACAGAGAGAAAGGTCTTCCTTCCGTTGGTTCACCCTCCAAATGGCCACCACGGCTGGCACGCTGCACCGATCCGAAGCCAGGAGCCAGGTGTTTCTTCCTGGTCTCCCATGCGGATGCAGGGCCCAAGCACTTGGGCCATCCTCCACTGCCTTCCTGGGCCACAGCAGAGAGCTGGCCTGGAAGAGGGGCAACCGGGACAGAATCCGGTGCCCCGACCGGGACTAGAACCCCGTGTGCCAGTGCCGCAGGCAGAGGATTAGCACATTGAGCCGCGGTGCCGGCCTTAAGATTTATTTAATTATTTGAAAAAGTTACGCAGGGAAAGACAGGCAGAGAGAAAGAGAAGTCTTCCATCCACTGGTTCAGGATGCAGGGCCCAAAGACTTGGGCCATCTTCTACTGCTCTCCCAGGCCATAGCAGAGAGCTGGATAGGAAGTGGAGCAGCTGGGACTTGAACTGGCACCCACATGGGATATGGGCACTGCAGATGGCAGCTTTACCCATTGCACCACAGTGCTGGCCCCTGGCTGCTCCGCTTTTAATCCAACTCCCTGCCAATTTGCCTGAGAAGACAGCATAAGATAGCTTAAATCCTTGGACCCTGCCACCCACATGGCAAACCTGGATGGAGTTTGGGGCTCCTGGCTTTAATTTTTTCCAGCTCCAGCCACTATAACCATTTGGGAAATGAGCCAGTGGAGGAAGATATCTCTCTCATTCTCTCTGTAACTGCCTTTCTTTTTTTTTTTTTTTTTTAATTTTTTATTTATTTATTTTTTATTTATTTATTTTTTGACAGGCAGAGTGGACAGTGAGAGAGAGAGACAGAGAGAAAGGTCTTCCTTTGCCGTTGCTTCACCCTCCAATGGCCGCCACGGCCAGCGCGCTGCGGCCGGCGCACCGCGCTGATCCGATGGCAGGAGCCAGGAGCCAGGTGCTTTTCCTGGTCTCCCATGGGGTGCAGGGCCCAAGCACCTGGGCCATCCTCCACTGCACTCCCTGGCCACAGCAGAGAGCTGGCCTGGAAGAGGGGCAACCGGGACAGAATCCGGCGCCCCGACCGGGACTAGAACCCGGTGTGCTGGCGCCGCTAGGCGGAGGATTAGCCTAGTGAGCCGCGGCGCCGGCCTTGTAACTGCCTTTCAAACAAATAAATAAATCTTTAAAAAGTGACTCTTGGGGCTGGCGCTTTGGTGCAGTGGGTTTGTGACACCAGCATCCCATTTGATCACCACTCCTATGCATCTCCCTGCTAATGCTTCTGGGAAAACTGCATAAGGTGGTCCAAGTGCTTAGACCCCTGTCCCTCACATTGAAGACCTGGATGGAGTTCCTGACCACAACCTGGCCCAGTCCCAGCTGTTGGCAGCCATTTAGGGAGCAAACCAGCAGATGGAAGATCTCTCACTCTGTCTCTCCCTCCCTGTCTGTAACTCTGCCTTTCAAATAAATTAAATAAATCTTTAAAAAAGAAATGAATCTCAGGGTCGGTGTTGTGGTATAGCAGGTAAAACCGCCACCTGCAACGCCAGCACCCCAAATGGCACTGGTTATGAGACAATTGGAGAATTTAGCATAGTCTGGGTATCAGGTGATATTAAAGAATTAAAGTATTTATTAAAATGTATAGTAAAATACTTTCAGGTATTTAATGTGTCTGAGATTTCCTTCAAAGTACTGGATCAAAAAAGGAGAAAAGGGAATAGATTAAAAAAAATAAAATAGCAGAATATTGGTAGGTGTTGAAGATGTTTAATGACAATACATTTAGTTTCTCTGTTATTCACTCTTGTGAATATTTGAAATTTTCCTTGATAAGTTAAAAAATTAAAATGAGAACTTGACCATCCTGAAAAAAGCCTTGAAGAAATTCTTAAAGTAGATAACAGTGTTACATCACTTCTCATTTTAGCCCAATACTGGTCCATTCTCTGTATACTGTGCAAAAATCCAGTTCTTTCATTACTGCCATACAAAACATTATCTTGAATAGAGATTTGAGTGAAAGCACAAGCATCACTTCTGGTCCTCGTGTTTGACCATGTGCTAGCAGAAGGAGCCGGCGCTGACCAGCCTTGTGATTTCCCTGATTTGCAAAATGTGCATAGATCTCTTGAGCTCACATGAGTAGTGTGCTTTTAATAGGTAGTAACATTCACAATTATGACCAAGTACCATCTCTCCCTCATGCCAGTTTTTATACACAGTATAGTTTTTATTCTCCTTTATGAATGGCCTCTGCCTCTTCCTGAATGTGAAAGGTCCTGGGAATATAACTGCTTTTGGGGGGAGGGAGGGGGAGGGTATGAGAGTTCTTATATACACGTACGTGTTTAATGTAAATGCTGTGTGATATACTAAGGATATGTTCTTAATCTTGTTTATTCATTATTTTCTCCCTTTTCCATTTTTCAGTACATGTACTAGCCTTAGCAAGTTCTGTTCCAAACTCAGGCACCTTGACTTGGCTTCCTGTACATCAATAACAAACATGTCTCTAAAAGCACTAAGGTAAATTTCTTACAGTTAGCATTACTAGTAATCACAACAAATATAATCTTTTTTAAAATAACTGGTAGATAGTTAGAATTGAAATGAACTGTTTTATGGATATATTCTTAAGTTCAGAATAGACTTTTTGTTTTGCCACTTGCCCAAATTCCAGCCACGTGAAGTTGTACTGATACTCAGTAGCTCTTGTGTTATAAAAATAACAGCTTTGGGGCAGGCGTTGAGGTGCAACAGGTTAAACTGCCTCTTGGGATGCCCGCATCCCATACTGGAGTGCCTAAGTTTTTGTTTCACCTCCACTTCCAGTCTACCTTCCTGCTATTGCACACCTTGGGAGGCAGCAGGTAATGGCTCACATACTTGGGTCCCTGACACTCACATGGGACACCCAGATGGAATTCCATCTCCCGGTTTCAGACCAACCCAGCCCTGGCTGTTAACGGGCATTTGGGAAGTGAACTAGTGGATGGAAACTTTCCCACTGTCTGTATACATCTCTCTGCCCTTCAAATAAGTGAAAATAAATAAGTAAACACTGAAAATAATATAATCGTTTCATGTGGTTCAACCTTGTGTGTGTGTATATACATATATATGATATGTTTAAATATATATGTGTATATATACATATATGTTTTAAAGTTCCTGAATTTTCTAAATCAATAAAGGTTAATTATTGTATTTGTATATTTTTTAAAGAATGTTACAGAAGATTTATCTTAAAAGGAGAAAAAAAATGTTCTCTTTGGGAATTTATTTTTTAACCAGCCATTTGTAAATGATTATTGTCCCATATAATGGTTACATTTATGTGTAGTAAGAATTTTATTAAAAGAAACAGATTTTAGTTGAATATAAGTAATCTAAACCTGTGTCTTCCTTTAGACCTTCCACATGAACATTGGCCACATGTGTATCTAAGACTGTTTACCATGTAGGATAATAAAATAACATTTATCACTTATAAGATTTTTCACATAAGTGACCTCATTTATTTTGAAAGCCTTGTGATATAGATAGGACATTTTACAGATAGGAAAATCTAAAAAGTTGTTGAGACTAGGTACTGTGATGCAACCATGAAATGTAACTGAATAAGATATTGTGGCTTCCCTTAAGGTGGGAGAAAAAAAAACTACCGAGCATGTATCACCTGACCACGTCATAAGTGCCGGTAGAGCAGCGAGCACAGCGTAGAAAGGGCCGCAGCAGCAGCCGTCTTTGAAGTCAGACATTAATGTTGAAGAATGAATTTGATCTTAGGTCTGGCTTTGTTTTCAGAGTCTTTTTTTTGCAGCTAGGAATATTTAAGCCAGTGTACACAAAGTTTTCCAAAGAATATCATAGAAAGCTTGAGATTCAACCATAGTCTAAATGTGAAACTAACTGATGAGAGCAGAAAGGATTATAGCTGAAGCTAGGATTTTAAAGGCAGAGACTGAACACCAGATATCCTAAATTCGGCCTACAGAAACAATACTTTTAAAATAATGCAGATAAGAGACACATGATATCTTTGTAATTTTTAAAATAAAAGTATAATAGTTATTATTGCTTTATCCTAATAGGTTTACTAAATGGAGAGTCTGGGTTTGAATGAACTCTTCATTATTTGGATACTTGAACAAGTCACCCAATTTCCGTTTCCTTTGCTAATGAGTCCTAAATGGGCACCACAGCACTTTATAAATCACCCTTTTTTTTTTTCCCTTTGGCTATGGGAATACCTGCTTTCTAAATCTATGTTAAGTAAATGTGTGTATTCTTCTGAGAGATAATAGGAGCATATCCATTCCTTGACTTAGTAGCCAAAAATAAAACTTCAGTGCCTTTGGAATTGGATGTGTTGATGTGTTATGTCTAATATTTTTTATCCTAAGTGAGGGATGTCCGCTGTTGGAGCAGTTGAACATTTCCTGGTGTGACCAAGTAACCAAGGATGGCATTCAAGCACTAGTGAGAGGCTGTGGGGGCCTCAAGGCCTTATTCTTGAAAGGCTGCACACAGGTAATATTCCAGATAGTGCTTGCGAAAGTCAGAGGAACCATGGGATCTTTATAGGCAAGCCCAAGGTGTTTGTCTTGAAGGATATATTAGTTGTGTGTATTACTGACCAGAGAAACATGCTTACAAAAAATTAAAGTGCTTTCTTTAGAAGAAAAGAATTTAAAAAAAATTAATATCTGACCAAAGATAAATTTGGATAGAGCAAAGTAGAGAGATAAGATTATACTGAAGATACACTTAAGCAAGGATTTTCATGCAGTTTTTTTTTTCTGTACAGAAAAGAAAACCTGCCATATTGTCACTGCCTGGTTCTTTGAACTGTATAGGCAAAGAAGGCAGTCTTAGAAATTCCACTTGCTTAACCACCTAGAGTTTTCTTAGGTGTGCAAAGGGTACAGCAACCTGCATTTTATACCAATAATAACCATTTCCTGCCAGTCATGTAACAAATTCAACATATATTGTCATTAAACATTTCACTGTCTCAGTGTTTTATTGTGAAAAAAGGTATTAGCTAGATAGCATCTTGAAAAATACAATCAAGAATGAATTTAAGGTTGGGCATTTCACACTGTGGTTAAGCTGCCACTTGGAGCGCCTACATCGGAGTGCCTGGTCGCATATGGCTGCACTTCCAATTCAAGCTTCCTGCCGACGCGGACCCTTGGCGGGCAGCAAGTCATGACTCAAGTAGTCAAGTTCCTGCCACCTACATGGAAGACCTAGATTGACTTCCTGGCTCCCAGCTTCAGTGTAGCCAGCCCCAGCCACTGCAGACATTTTGGGAAGTGAACCAGTGCATGAGAGCTCTAACTCTGTCACTCTATCTCTGACTCTGTCTCTATCTCTTTCTCTCCCTCTCCCCTCTCTCCCTCTCTCCCTCCCTCCCTCTCCCCATCCCCCACCTCAAATTAAACAAAAAAATGTGACTGACAAAATGAGGTCAGCCTCTTATTTTTTTAAAGGTAATGTTTTAATTTTAAAATTGTTATTTATTTCACTTTTTTATTTGAAAGAGGGAAAGAGATCATTCATCCACTGGTTCACTCCCCAAATGCCTGCTACAGCCAGTTCAAGGCCAAGCCAAAGCCAGGAGCCCCAGAACTCAGTTCAGGTCTCACATGTGTCTCTGGAATCCCAGTACCTGAACCATCACCTGCTGCCTCCCAGGCGGCACGCACCCTCAGCAGTAAGCTGGAATTGGAAGCGGAGCTGAGACTCAAATCCAGGCACTGCTATTATAGGAAGCAGGCATCACAAGTGGTGTCTTAACTGCTGCATCAAACACCTGTCTCTTACTAATAATTGCTGATACCTTGGATTCCACTAAAATGCCATTATTCTCTCTTTCTAATGGGAGAGAGTCCATTATTTGAAACAGCTTCAGATGTAAGACTGCCTTAAAACAACAGCTTGAGTTTCTGGTTATTTATGGAACCCTGAAAAATATTGATGTGACTATATCATTATAATCAGTGACTTCCATCTGTTCTCAGCACTGTAAGCATGACACTGATCTTCCAGCAGCAAATAAATACTGTGATTCTTTTTTGGCTGCTTCTCTGGAATCTTTACTTATAAAAAGTTTTTTTGGGAGGGCTGGTTAGTGTTGTGGCATAGCAGGTTAAGCCATGGACTACAATACCACCATCCCATATGGACACTGGTTCCTTTCCCAGCTGTTCCACTTCTGATCCAATTCCCTGCTGATGTGCCTGAGAAAGCATCAGAAGATGGCCCAAGTACTTGGGCTCCTGACTCCCATCTGGGAGACCCAGATGAAACTCTGGACTTTTGGCTTCATCCTGGCCCAGCCAGGTGGTTGCAGCCATTTGGGGAATGAACCAGTGGATAGAAGATCTCTCTGTCTCTCCCTCCCTCTAACTCTGCCTTTCAAATAGATACATCTTTTTTTTTTTTTTTTTTTAAAGGCTTTTTCCACTCTGCCTGTCAAAAAAAAAAAAAAAAAGGCTTTATGGGGAGTAGAAACATAAAAATTATTTTTTATCATCCCACAGCAAAATACTGTGAGATATGTTTATCAAATGTAAAATTCATAAAGAGTAAGCAATGTTTCTTTTTTTTTTTTTCAATTTGGCGATGGTATGAACTTGATGTGGTCAGAACTGATAAAAATACCAGTAACCCTACTAATAATAAGAACCATTCATTTTGGTGATCATGTAAACTTGATGTGGTCAGAACTGGTGAGAAAAAAAAAAATACCTCTAATCCTACTAATTAAAGGAATCCTGTTCTGTGGTCATAGTTCATTGTTTCTGCTTTGTTGTTCCTTTGAAACTTAATTAGTTATGTTTAGAATGTACTGATGGATGTGTACATTCTTAAATCTTTCACCTTTGAAACAAAGTTTATAATCACTTTTTCTCTTTTTAAAATCTTTCTAGCTAGAAGATGAAGCTCTGAAGTACATAGGTGCACACTGCCCTGAACTGGTGACCTTGAACTTGCAGACTTGCTTAGTAAGCATATTCCCACAACTCTTCTGTATTAGTGATATTACAGTAACAGTTTCAGTCATCAAGGCCAGTGGTTTTTGTACTACAACCTAAGTGACACAGTAGACACACAGATAACTATATGCTTGACAATACTCCTTAGAGAGTATCCTACGGCTTTGCCGTGATATGAGGGTAGCTTTTGCAGAATTCCAGATGAGCTAACAGTAACTCCACACCTTTTTTATCTACTTAAGAAAACTAATTTTTAAAAAATATTCACAAAGTTTAGTATTTAAAATTGCAGTTGCACTTTATAACCTGTTGAAATATACCTGTGGGTCACATCTGTGGAGAACCACTGATCTAAAAGATGTCAAAGAATGTGTACCCTTGAAATAATTTCCCAGTGGTGTTTGCATTTAACATTTCAGCTTGTTCCGTCTTTCAGCTCTGTGTCTGCCCCAAAACCCCTGAATTTTACTCAGATAATTTTCTGAAACTATACCAAGGCTGAACATTGATAGTACACCTTGAGCTTTTTTTTCTTCTTAACCTTAAAAATTACATATGCATGTTGTCTTGGAGTGAAAACCCCTGCTAGTAGAGGGAAAAAAGTGAATGGAAATTTTCCTTGTTCTGGCTAATAAGCCTTTTACTTTTACACTCTGCCGTTCTTGTTTGATCACCAGTTTGACACCTAGTGTGTGTTTAGTTTGAAGGTGATCCATGAAGTGCCACATTTTGTGTAGTCTGTCCTTCCAGCTATTGAGGAAGGAGTGATAACAGTCTACTTAGGAAGTGCGGGGAAACTGAGTCACAAGGATGCTTTACTTTCCTCTTTAATCCTGACCATCCTCCCTGATGATTCTGATTGCCTTAGTTGATGCCTGGAATTTGCCTAACTGCATTTATGAGACAGAAATGTTTACCTTGAGAGAATAAGCATCACTGTTATGAACATGAAATCATCATTGTGGAGTGACCAAAAAATTATTCTCGGGCAGCTTCAAATGACCTGTGTCTGTATACATGTGCTAAATACATACCATTTGCAGGTTTGTTTTCATGTCATCTGTCCTCCAGCAGGCAGGAATCCATTAGTAAGCATAATGAACCAGTTCCATCACGTGTGTGTTTTATTGCTTTTCTTCACCCATGTCTTGATTCAAGGGCTCCCCCTGCAACGTGATGAAATGGTTCTCAGCATTTATGAGACTTGATGTTTGGCCCAAAACTATTGAAAGAGCTAAAATATGTTCTTGATTCATTTACCTTTTTTTTTCCTGTTTTAAAAACAAAAGCTTAGTCAATTTTACCCTTTTTTAAGATTTAAAGTATTATTAATATGATTTTCTTTGTCCATATTCTCAGTACTCCCTAATAGGTTTTAAAACATGAAGGAAAGGACAGCACAGCCCTACAGTACTTCTCTCTGGTTGTGTGGTAGCAGTTCCACTACTGGAACAGGCCTGCTACATCTGCCTGTTTATGGATCCCCACTTCCTCCATACATCTCACCCATCCTTGTCAGTAGTAATGGCACATCACATTTGTATGGCACATTTTTAGGTACTGCCACTTGTGCACATACCTCATTATTTTATCCTCATGGCAAATCATGTATCTCCCTTAGCATTCCATTGTTTAGCTGTATTTGTTTCGGTTGCACAATAATGGAAATGTGTTGAATTAAGCAATGGTATTGAAACTTCTTATTTTCTGTTTGTGTTTTTATTTGTTCTAGCAACTTGGGAATACTGCTTGATTAACAGAAATGTCAGGAGAGCTTTATTTTAAACCTGCAGAAAGTTAGTGAATCTGACAAACTGGAAGTGTTAATACTGTATACCATTATGATGTTTATGTGTAACATCTCTCTTTTTTTTTTGAATATATAATATCCTTGAGTGCGTGTTCTAGGTTTTAAAATCATTTAATTGAAACTACACTGTGACACACCTATGCTATTCCTTGTCTCATTAGGCTAAAAGGATCCCATGACAGTTTCTTCCCTTTATACCAAAAATGAGCACAGATTCTCTTGCAAATTAAATCAAAAAGACCTGGAAGAAAGAAAAAGTATGTTTGTTTTCTTTTAGGTTTGTTATATGATTAATATTAAACCTGCCTTGATTTCTTTTTGGTGCTTACTCACAGAGGTATCATTTTTTTCTTCTTTTTCTTCTGCTGTGTTACTAATACTTGTGAATTTATTTGGTTTGCTCTTGTTTTTTAGCAAATCACAGATGAAGGTCTCATCACCATATGCAGAGGGTGCCATAAGTTACAGTCCCTCTGCGCCTCTGGCTGCTCCAACATCACAGATGCCATTCTGAGTGCTCTAGGTCAGAACTGTCCACGGCTTAGGTAAGCATTTCTCGTTTAGCTGGAAAATCAAGGAAAAGGAATAAAAGTCTCCTTCACCTTTATTTATTTATTTATTTATTTGAAACTTTGAATTTTGAAGTAGCCAATACCCTTTCAGGTGCCCACTGTCTTGTTTTGTACCTCAGTGGATTAAATGTAGTTGGTGGCATGAACCAAATGCAAGGTGTCCGGCGCGTAACAAATCTTCCCAGGCAGACGAATCAATTAATTCACAGGCTTTTATTGGGGTTCCGCTCCCAGGCGAGGTTCTCTGGTCCCAACAGAGCAACAGAGTGGGGGCCGGGGAAGTCGCACGTCAGAGATTGGGAGGGCTCCTTTTATAGATTCAGGGCATGGGGGTTAAAGGTTGAGGCAGGTCTGATCCTCATTGGTTGACCTTTGGGCACCCGCGGGGGCCTTGACAAGGACTTTACTTCCCCGGAAGTATAGGCCTTCCTTCCATGCGGATCCCAAAGCTACCACCCCGACCTTTTGATGATAGGAAAGGGGGCGACGATGAGTCTGGCTACTTCCTGCAGACTGAGGACGTTGTCTACAGGGGCCCACTGTGGGTATCTTGGGGCTCCGCAGGGCCAGGCATGTATGGATGGAGAAGCATCTGGTTGACTGCTTGGTTGCTGAAGGCCTTGGTTCATTCCATTATCACCTGCTGTAAACACTTAGACACTGTAGTATACAAGTCAGGGTGAGAATAGCAACCAGTGATCCTAAGAGTGGCACTAACTAGGTAATGAAAGGATTTCATAGAGGAGAGGAAATGAGGGGGTCTCTGGACCCTTGTGAGGATTGTTTGATGGACGTGGTTTAAATCTGATCTCAGCCAAGACTGGGAGAAGGGCCACTCAACTTTTGCAGGTAGTGGGGTTTGTCTGTAGAGAAATTCTGAATAATCATACAACATTATGTGGGGGAGAGGACCATCAGTACACACAGGTTGGGAGCAGAGCCATTGATGTTAGAGTAGAGGCTGTTATTACAAAGGAATGAGACCCAAGTGTTCTAGACAGGGTCTAGAACAAAGGGCAGAGTCATTACTAGAGGACCCAAGAAAAGTGCTGTCTCAGCCAAATAGAACCTGACAGAAGGGGCCTGATAATTAATCAAGTGGGCTTTAGGCCTTGTAAGTTAAGAGGCCCAGACCTATCTCTTCATAGGGTACATCCTAAGGGAGGTGTGAACCTCCTTGGGAAAGGCACCCTGTTGACTTCCATTACCTACCTGGCCTGGGAGGAGAGCTGGCTAGGTAAAGGCAGGTGGCATCTCTAACAGGAAATTTACAGTTCTGCCTGTAATGTTGCTGACCCTACTTGACCGTCCCCTCAGCTGTGGTGGTCACTTTGGAAGCTGGGCCTTCAACTCCACCCTCCTGTGTAGCTCAGTGTATGTTAGAACGGAAAGACTCTCAGATGTGATACTTAAAAGTTGTGCCTCTCGACCGGCGCCGTGGCTCACTAGGCTAATCCTCCGCCTTGCGGCGCTGGCACACCGGGTTCTAGTCCCGGTCGGGGCGCCGGATTCTGTCCCAGTTGCCCCTCTTCCAGGTCAGCTCTCTGCTGTGGCCCAGAAGTGCAGTGGAGGATGGCCCAAGTCCTTGGGCCCTGCACCCGCATGGGAGACCAGGAAAAGCACCTGGCTCCTGGCTTCAGATCAGCGTGATGTGCCGGCCACGGCGGCCATTGGAGGGTGAACCAACGGCAAAGGAAGACCTTTCTCTCTGTTTCTCTCTCTCACTGTCCACTCTGCCTGTCAAAAAAAAAAAAAAGTTGTGCCTCAATCAGATCACACTCTCTCATTAGCTAAGACATTGATTTCTAATTGGTGTTCTGTTAATGATGATTTCTTATATGTTAGCGGTAATTTTTTTCGACTTTGACAGTAAGTAATTGGTAAGCAAACATGTAAATGTTTTTTTGATTTCTATTGTATGGAGGTCACCAGACTTTTCGCAGAAAGGAACTACTTTTGATTTCTCAGTCCTATGGTTGGTTGGCATTTAGATTTGTGGGTAGCAGTTACTGAATAGGAGAGTGACTGCCAGCTCAGCCCCTCTCCTAGGCCTCCCTGGGAGCCTGTGGGAGGAGGCAGGAAGCTTTCCTAAGTGTGAAATTTCATATTTGGGACAGGCCTGTAATTAGCATTCCCTTCATCACATTGCTAAGAAGATAGCTAAATCTGAGTGAACCTACTTGTAAAATAAGGAAAGAAAATAATTTACTTCAGCAACAGATTAACCTAAACAGAGCATTTATCTCAATTTCCTTTGTTTTCTAGGAGCAGGCTGCCCTCTGGGGGTAAGCAGTATGCCATCAAAGAAGGCTTTTAATGCATTTCATGCATTTGGGCTTTAACTACAAACTTCAGTTTTATTCTTCTGTGTTCTCTGATTACATCACCCTGAAGTGTGGTATTTGCAGGACCACTTTATGATAACTCCATGAAAATGAATGGCAAGATCTACATGCAGACTTGCTTGAAGCTGTTGCTGTCGCTCTGTATTACAAAGTCCTTAGAGAACAGGAGATTCTTTTCTTAAATTCTTGCTGTTTTAATAAACACAGTTTTCAGGGACCATGCACTTGAATTTCACTTTGTTTTTTTCTTAACAGAATATTAGAAGTGGCAAGATGTTCACAATTAACAGATGTGGGCTTCACCACTCTGGCTAGAGTAAGTATTTTTTTTCAAGTTTCATGGGTTTCCATAGGTTTTGTTTGACTTTTATTTCGGAAGACTGAGCAGCAGGAGAAATGAAGGTGCCAGTAGAATCTGGGAGGTGCTCTGTGGCTGGTGTTCTGCACGTTCTCATATGCAGCCACAGAGGTGCTGACACTGGTAAGAACACAACTGTTCTGGAAATGCAGGCATGCACTGCAGAATCTGATGGTCACTCCTGATTCTTTGATTTTCTGCAACTTCATTAAAATACTAAGTTAACCTTTCCAAAACAGGCACCTTGACTGAAAGTTCAGCTAAGTAGAGACTTCCTTGTGCTTTGTAAAAGAAACGTAACTTGTTTATATGGCATGTAGCTGGTAGATGAAAGTACTGTGGAAAGAAACAGGTGAATCTGGTTTCTAAACAGAGAGGTTTAAGAGATTTTCTGTATTCTCCTGAAGATTTTAACGCTTGGAATGATTTTATAAATCACTATGTGATAATACTGTTCAAAACTGCAGTGACTTTAGGAGGGTCATTTGCTTTCAGGCAGGTTGCTAGAGTACTAATTGGGTCAAGGCACGTGGCATAACTGAAGGAGGACAAAAAGCTTGCTTGCCTTTCTTCCAAAGAAACAGTTTTCCTTAAATTATTCATGATTGAAAAGACCTCTGATTAGCCCAGTATTAATGTTTAGAAAACTTAGTCCCTTGTTCTTAGGAATTTATGGACTTTAAATATGGAATAATTGAGAAATTTCACTGTAATCAAATTCTTCTAAAATGAGAAATTAGTGGCAAAAGATAGAAGGTGACTTGAGAATGACACCAGCTCTGAAACACTAAAATCTCCTCAGTATATTTAATATTACCTCATTTTTTCTGGCTCTGAAGTTTTCTCATGTTTTAAATGTTTATTGCATAATGTTTGTAATGTCTTTGTAGAATTGTCATGAACTTGAAAAGATGGACCTGGAAGAGTGTGTTCAGGTAAGATTGTAGATTTTTTTTTAAAGATTTATTTATTTATTTGAAAGGCAGAATTATACAGAGAGAGAAAGAGAGGCAGAGAGAGAGAGAGAGGTCTCCCATCCGCTAGTTCACTCGCTAGTTGGCCGCAGCAGCAGGAGCTTCTTCCGGGTCTCCCACGTGGGTGCAGGCGCCCAAGGACTTGGGCCATCTTCTACTGCTTTCCCAGGCCATAGCAGAGAGCTGGATTGGAAGTGGAGCAGCCAGGACTTGAACCGGAGCCCTTATAGGATGCCAGCACTGCAGGCGGCAGCCTTACCTGCTACGCCATAGCACCGGCCCCAAGATTGTAGATTTTTATTCACAAATGTAGTATAGTTGAAAGTTACGTAATACATGCACTTCAGAATTTCACTTTCCTACCCTATAAGAGGATGCTAGTGCCTGGCAGCACTGCTGATTCTCCATTTAGTGAGGTCTTCTAGGCATACCAGAGGTGCATGTACTGAAGAACTGTGAAAATACACACCATCAGTTCAGTTACCCGTAGAGATGAAGGTCACCCAAGCTTCAGACCATGAATCTGCCTTCAGAGAGATCATGAAAGAACACTTCAAGCCCCGCCACACTTATCTATAGCCCTATCATTTTTTAGCTTTATGGAACCCTGGAAACCTGACTGTATTGTACTCTAACCCACTGACTTCCTTATGAACAATTTATTTTCTTACCAGTTGAAGAGCTTTGGGATTATTAATTGACTGAGGAGAAATTTTGAAAGGGGAACTCCAAAAAAGAAGATAGAGCAATGAATTTTTTAATAGTAAAAATAGAGAAGATACTTATAACCGTAAAGAGCATCTTTTTAAATTTCTTACTATCCAGACACTACTTAACAGCTGTTAATTCCTACTAAAATAAAACTTGTTCACGTGAGTTTTATCTTACTCATGCCTGAATGTCTCCTGTGTCTTTCCAGTGTTGATCTGGAATGGGCATGCCTGGCACTCCACTCCCTCCCTCTGCCATTTCTCAGCCCCTCTGAAGCAGAGTGTAGTAAAAATCGTGAGCGTCTCGGATGGAGAGGAGTTTGAAAAGAAGCACTGTGTGCTTTCACTCAGATAACTGAAAGGCTGATCCCGCAGGGATCATAACGGAGCCCAGACTCCAGCAGCCTGTCTACCAACCTTGGGAAGATACCAGCCCCAAAGGCATCAGTCCTGAGTTGGGTCATGCCTTCTAAAAATTGGGCCAAATGTCTAAAAATTCATAGACAATTTGACATTAGTTTTTTTTTTTTTTTTCATGGAGCTCTGTCTTCTGATCCTTTTCTGTGATGGTTCTAAGAAGATAGGGCTAAATCCCATCCAGTGGATGGAAGTTCCAAGGGGAAAGATTCTTATTTATTTAAAAAACAAAACAGAATTTTGGACAAAGTTGTTCAAAGACAAAGACTAGAGATGACCGTCTGTGGTCAAACCCAGCCTGGTGGGTTCTTTTAGAACAGATTCAGATAGCACTTGATATTTAAACTTTTAAGATTCTGTTATTGGATAATATAGATTATCAGAATGTCTAGACTAAAAGTGTAGTCAACAGTGAGGTATGGCCCATGATTTTATTTGGAATTAAACCTAAAGTAAACTTATGGTTTCTTTCAGATAACAGATAGCACATTAATCCAACTTTCCATACACTGTCCTCGACTTCAAGTATTGGTGAGTTTGACTTTCAGAGTTTGATGTTTATTGGATTCAATCAAAACCCAATGCTACAGTTCCAGTTGAAAAAGGAACCCCGCTCTTACTTTTCCTCTTGTCTGGCTACCATTTTTGAAAAGGATGCATCTCCAAATTGCCAGCTGATAAAGGGCCAAGGAAGGACCTGAGTGAAGAGGGAAACCGGGAGGAAGTATCTATGCCTAGAGGTTGTAAGGTGATGTGGAGAGTTCTCTTTCCCAGGTGGATTATGTTCCAACCTGAATGGTGTTAAATTGTCAGAGATCCAGGGGGTGAGATGGCCCAAAATACAATGTGCTTCATCTTGGGACTCAGTATTCTTTTTCTTTTTTTAAGATTTATTTATTTATTTGAAAGGCTTGGAGAGAAAGATTTTCTATCTGCTGGTTCCTCTCCAAATGGCTACAACAGTCAGGGCTGGGCCAGGCTTAAAGCCAGAAGACAGGAACTCCATCCAAGTCTTCCATGTGGGTGGCAGGAACTCAGGTACTTAAACCATCATCCACTCCTTTACCAGGCACATTATTAGCAGGGAGCTGGATTGGAGGAGTAGCCAAGACTCAACCAGCATTCTGATACAGGATGCCGGCATCCCAAGCAGCAGCTTAGTCCTCTGAGCCATAGTGCCTTCCCCGAAATGTTCTTACAGAACAGAACTGGACAAGACCTTCCTGGGGGAGTTCTTTGTGCGACCCTCAGTGATGCTATAGGAAGGAATGCTAGCTGGCTGTTCTGTATCCAGGCTCATTTTCAGTGTGTGTGGTGACGTGGCACTGTCCAAAATGGGGTCAAGGATTCTGAGTTTCCCAGAACTAGGGCTTTAAGGAACATTGTTGAAGAGGTGTTCACACATGATATCCATAAAAATCATCTTCAGTTAATTGTTAGGGCCTGCCCCTGTACCGTATAACCAATATTTAGTTAAAATTCCAGAAAATTTTTTTTCACATTATTTATTTCAGAGGTAGATATAGACAACACATGTGAGCTCCCATCTGCTGTTTGACTCCCCAAATATCCACCATGGCCAGGCTGTGATCTAGGCTGGAGCCAGTAGACAGAATCACAGTCCATGTCTCCTAGATGGGTGGCAGGAACCCAGTTACATGAGCCTTCCAGGGTCTGCAGTGTTGCAAAGCTGGAGTGAGGAGCCAGAGCCAGGAGTCACGCCTAGGCACTCAGTGTGGAATAGGATGTGCAGGCATCTTGACCACAAGACTCAGCACCTGCTCCCAAAATGCCAGGAAATTTGTTTCTGTAAAAAGCTTGATCCTGACTCGTCCTTGCAGAGAAGAAAAGTATTAATTTGGGGAGGGCATAATTTTCATAGCTGTCTTATCTGTGAACTAGTCATTTCGTGCATTCACAAACTGTATTTAGAATCACGCACAGAAACATGAGTTGTTGATTGCCAAAAGCAGAATCCAGCAACTCTGATTTGCTTTCTTCGTTTCACCATGTGGATCTAGTAACAGCTCTGTGTTCATTAAAATCACACCAGAGACCCTAGCTAGAGGAGTGCCAAAAGACATTTCAACGTCTTTCCTTGTTCTGTTTGGCTACAGAGTCTGTCTCACTGTGAGCTGATCACAGATGATGGAATCCGTCACCTGGGGAATGGGGCCTGTGCCCATGACCAGCTGGAGGTGATTGAGCTGGACAACTGCCCGCTAATCACAGATGCATCCCTGGAGCACTTGAAGAGCTGTCACAGCCTTGAACGGATAGAACTCTATGACTGCCAGCAGATCTCTCGGGCTGGAATCAAGAGACTCAGGGTAAAGACGGCCCATCACCCTCCGGCTCTGGTGTTCTCAGCACCCTTTCTTTTTCTTTTTTTATTTTCAGATTTAGATTCCTGTGATTTTTTTTTTTTTAATATTTACTTGGACATTTAGCAAGGAGAAGAAGAGGGAGCGGAAATCAAAGGGTAGATAGTTTTTATCTGTCATTGCAGATGGAAATTTAGTTGGAAAGCACCCACTAAAGGAAAGAAAAGTAGGTCTTCTCCCAGCAGAGCTTCTCCAGTAGTGTCCAGGGTTTCTAACATCCCCAGAGTCAATACAACAACAAAAACCCACGCATTCCAGATTTTGTTTCTAAGGAAAGAAAGGAATAACAAAATATTCAGTTAAATGGTATTTCAAAATTTAATTTGTATTTCCTTTTTACATAAAACCCTCTTCCTGGAGGTTCTTGTTTAAGACTACAGATGAATCAAATAGATTTTTACCTTTTCTTTTGGCCCCATCCTCTATAATTAACCCCTGTACAGCCAAATGACCAGAAGATAGATTGCCAGCAAAGAAACTAAAAAAGCTGGGTGCTTCTGTATGCTGTAGTATGCAGCTCAGTGGATCTTGACTGAAGCAGCTTCAGACCTGCTACAGGAAAGGCACTGTGTAGGCAGGCCCTTCCCGCCAACCTACGAAAAATGCATGTCAGCCACAGGGATGTGAGCCAAGAAAGGAGCACTAAGCTTCACCTGGAGTTCCAGTTGGCCTCAGTTCCTCCTCCCCCTTCAGACATGCAAGCAGAGGGCTGAGAGCATACCTGCAAAGAGGGTGGCCTCACAGCGCTTTTACTTCTTTTTTGTTGTTTTTGTTTTGTTTGGTTTGGTTTGGTGCTGAAACCCAGGACAAACCCCCTTTTACTTCTATACCAAAAGGAAAGAAAAGCCCCAGGTCAGCCAGATCCTGTCCCAGAGCCAGCTTCTACCCGGGCTCCTGCACCTGCCGGCTGCCAGGAGTCCCCTCCACCTCTGCGTCTGTTTCTGTTCTTCAAGCCACTGAGCAGTTCTCTGCTTTAATTTAGCTATTTATGCGCATGTCTGTACTACAGCCTCCCTAAGAGCAGGATCCCCTCGTGACCATCTTTCTACTCCTCTCACTGAAATAGTATCACCTTTAGCATAGTAGTATTCAGAAATAGGAGTAAAGGTTAGATGTGTATTGTTTAAAGAGGAAATGAAGGGGTTTTTTTAGTATCAGTAAAAAATTATTTACTATAACTTGGAAAAATTATTATTTTAACTTGCATAGCTTCTTCATACTATGAAAATACAACTGGGAATCCCTTTAGGACTAGATAAATTAATATGACATTTTACCCTAGCTTTTTAAAAAATTTTTTTAAATTTATTTATTTGAGAGGTAGAGTTACAGACAGTGAGAGGGAGAGACAGAGAGAAAGGTCTTCCTTCCGTTGGCTCACTCCCCAAATGGCCACAACGGTCAGAGCTGTACTGACCCGAAGCCAGGAGCCAGGCACTTCTTCCAGGGCTCCCATGCAGGTGCAGGAACCCAAGCATTTGGGCCATCTTCTACTGCTTTCCCAGGCCACAGTAGAGAGCTAGATTGGAAGAAGGGCAGCCGGAACTAGAACTGGCGCCCATGTAGGATTCTGGCACCACAGGCGGAGGATTAACCTACTGCACCATGACGCCGGCCCCAGCCTAGCTTTTTTTAATTATGAAAACAGGTACCAAAGTTAGAGGAATTAATTTTATCACTTACAATAACCTAGGCTAGAACAGAGTTGTACCCAAGCCTCTAAACATCCTAAACAGTACTCAGCCTCTGCTCTGCTCTCATGTCCATTTAGCTCCTTGATGGTTTTTCTGAGAAGCAGCATTGCTCTTTCTGTTTGAGTCCACTCTCTTAGTAATGTTTCTGTCTTGTTTCAGACCCATTTACCCAATATTAAAGTCCACGCCTACTTCGCACCTGTCACTCCACCCCCATCAGTAGGGGGCAGCAGACAGCGCTTCTGCAGATGCTGCATCATCCTATGACAATGGAGGTGGTCAACCTTGCTGAACTGAGTATTTAATGACACTTCTAGAGTACGGTGGAGTCTCTCCAGTGGAAGCGACCCCAGTGTTTGGGGCAAGGATTTCAAAGTGAGGGAGGGTAGTGTCCAGACCCTCAGAGCCACACAAACGTATGCATACACACCCTCACCCCATCCACTCTAGCTCTGTGACTATGGGACTGATGTTCGTGCTGGCTTTATCAAGTGGATTGGTAAAACTTAACCATTCCAATTGGACGTGCCCAGAAGAAAATTATAGGCCAAGGTAGAGGGAGGGAGCATTCCAGCAAACCCAGTGTTACTGCTACTGTGGTTTCTTTACTTTGTTAAAAGGTTTCTTTGGGGATTTTTGGAACAGCAACTGCAGTCCTCCGGGGTCAAGGAAAGCATGGAAAAATAATATATGATGTGTCCAGGGACCAGAAAGAAAATTTCTTTGCATCTTAGATATGGTAGCCATCCTTTGTGAGATGACCACAGAGCTTCTGTGCTTCCTTGTTTCCATGCCAACATGCTGAGCATGCTCACAAAGAAGGCACGTCCATTCCTCTTGTGTTTTAGTATTTGGCCCAGAGGTTTCCTAAATAGTTACATTGGAATCACTGTGGTCTGAATGTGATTACTTATTCACTCAGTTGTCAATGTCTGTAGCATACTTGTGCACCTGTCTTCCATTCTCTGTTGCTCCCGCCCGCACTCTTGCTCAATCTGTCACCTATTCATAGTCTCCTTACTCACACTCAGTTATTACTCTGTTGTGTTTACAGTTTGCATTTTGGATGATTAGTTGGGGTTACCAAACATTTTTAAAAGACATTATCAATAAATATTTTTTTAATTCTAAATTTTACCATTGGGGGACCCTGCCTGAATCTTTGACAATTTGAAAGGAAACTATTAAAAAAGCAAAGAAAAAGTTATGAGAAAAAAATGAGAAACACTATCTTGATAAAAACAAACATTTGCATTTTGATTTCTATTATATCTTATGACAAATGAAAATTTGCATGATTTGTCCAGTACTCCCCCTTGCACATTTTTCCTTGTATCATATCCACCGACTTAGAGAAATGCATTGTTAGTGGAGAGTGATATGACAGACACCAAAACTGAGCCTGAAAGTCCTCACCAGCTGAGATGAGATACTGATGATTAACATTATCATATGTTCCTGGAACTTGGTGTGATGAGTGGTTTCTCTGAACTTGCCTTAGCAGGAATGCTGCAAGAGGGGCCACTTGGTTTCTCTTTTTGTTCCCCCATTTCAGCCTGCCAGGGATACAAGAATGACCCTATAAATAGCTGGTCACTGTATGTCAGTGTTAACTGCATCTTATCCAGTGTTGGTCCTCAGAGAACCAGGACCTGTCAACCATGTCACTCTGCTACTTCAGACTACCCCTCAGTGGAATATGAGAGTAGCCAGCTACAGGCATTGGGGCAGCCAAAAAAGAACTGGGGCAAGAAGCAGAGGGTCCAGTGTCCACATCCAGCGTGAGTACCTGGCAGCAGAGCTCAAGGAAGAGGTCCAGTGCCTAGTGCTCAGAGTCCAAGACTCAGCCCTCCTTGCCTAAATAAACAAATCATAGAGGAGAAGGGAAATCCGTTTCTAAAGCACAAATTTCTAAATCCCATGGTTGGAAACTTGTGAGGTTTTTAATAGGGTGATGGGGGAGGGCACCGTCTTAGGACTTTGTTGTGCAGCCTGCCGTTATCCTAGAACATCTTCTGCGTGACCCAGACTGTGAAAGGGCTTGTTTTCATGTGCAGGTGCTGGTTTTACCAGCATATGGAAAATGAAGTCTGATTGATTTCTCCATTGATTTCTAAAGCAGTCAGTTGAAAAGGTCCTAGAAGTTTGTACTAGCCATCGTTAGCATATGAAATTTATTTTAAATCATCCTTTATTTTTCTCCTTTAAAAACTGACATTTTACCTTGAAAGGAATATACTTAAGACTCACATTTGGCTGTATCCACACATACAGATACATATGTGTATGCATGCACACGTGTGTATGCACGCACGCACACACACACACACACACACACACTTCCCAATGTGATCTGCTAATATTCAGATGCCCATTCACTCATTCAAGCAAAGGTAAAAGAAATACTTAGAGGCCATCTGCTCTATAAAGTTTTTAATTTTTTTTAGTGCCAGCAAAAACTTACCATAAAACTTTGACTAGTGAGTATGGATTTGAATTGCTTAAGTTGAGGTTATTAAGGTAGTTCCTTACTTAAAGGATAAACTTAAAGGACCTTCTATGCCAGTACTTGAAAAGTCTTGAATGTTTCTCTCCTTGAAGGGCGTCCCCACATACAGGTCCATGTGGACTGGCCCTGGTGATCCCTGCTGTTAAGGCAAATCAATCCCCACCTGTCTGGGCTAAGAACAGATTCAAGTGAGAAAGAACAAGTTCCAGCGCTATGCAGCACTGGCTTGTCTGTGATCAAGAGCCTTGTTTGTTTCTCACAAAAAAACTTCAGGCCCATCATATTTGGAAGAAAATGTATTTTTGTGCTGATCTTCAGACTACACCAGATGATGAATATGCTAGGAGTCTGAGAACACAGAATATGGTAAGTTCTGGCCAGGATCCTGACATAGGATGCTTCCTGTCTCAACAGCTGGTACACTTTTGAAAATTCATTAAGGCTTATTAATGCAGGAAAAGTTCTCTTTAGGAAAAGCTTATTGGTCCATTTGTCTAATACCATAGCCAGTCCATAATGTACCTTTTATAATGAAAAGAAAAAACTGAACAGAGAGGAGAGAGTTGCAGTAAGTAAGACGTAAGACGGGACCCTCAGAGCTATTGCCATAAACCTGCAGGTGACCAGGAGTAATTAAGAGTGGAGAAAGTTCTTGAACATCCAGATCAAATCTTGCCTGAGCAACATTTCCCCTGCGCTCATGCATCATACTTTCCAGCATGCTTCCTGGTATCTTCTGCATCCTCCTCGTTGGCCCCATGGAGGTGATTCAGCTTTTTCCCCTGTGGATTTCCACCATTTCCTTCCTGTACCATCCTGGCCCTCTGTTTAAAGCTGCCAGCTCACTCCAGTTAAAGCTGCTGATTTGTGTCTCAGATTTTTCCAGTCTAGCTTTCTCTTTGGGCCCTTGTCCCCATCAAAGCAAACTTTATAGGCAGCCTTGAATTGTTTAAGTGTCAGGTGGCTTGGATCATTTTTCACTGGATGGTTTCTGATATTTGCTTACTAGATTTGAATTAAGTATAAAATCAAACTATTGGAGAAGGGGTTCCTGCTTCAGCTTTTTTTCCAGTATTGGGTATATTTAAAGCACATTGTGCTTTGTAAAAGAAATGTTTTCTTGTTCTGCTCCCTCCTTTACTGGATGTAAAGCTTGTCCTTAAGTGGATTTTGTACCTTTCCTGTCTGATTTCCACAGCCAGTAAGTTGATATAGCAAACATATAAGACAAAAATTTCACATATCCTGAAGGAACCTGGTAAATAATTTTATAATGCTTTATTTGGGGCTTTCCAGATTATTTGAATAGTGCAGTATAACCATAATGCTACAGTGATCAGGCGAGAGCCAGGCTCTTTCATTTCTTCCAGTTGCCTTATCAAACGCGTAGTGTTGCTAGTCCACTAATGCTATGGGAGACTAAACGAAGCATGCAGTGGGACCTGCCTTGGTTTGAAGCTGTTAGGAAGTGTGGGTGTCGCTGGAAGAAAAGGGCGGTTTCCTGCCTGCCTGTTGAGCAGCAGATCCTCAGGTGACTGTGTTAATGAAGAAGAGGAGCCCTCGTGGCTCATGGTTGCCCCTTGGCCCTTGAATGTGTATTGTACCTGAAGTCAGACTGCTCGTGCAGTTGCCACCAGAGGAAGGATTTAAAGACAGTTGGTTTATTCTGCCTTTCCTCTCCTGTGTGAGTGATTCAAGGGCAGGGTACTGTCCCTATGGAACTTCTTGGCTGACAAGCTCTTTAAATGGTATATTCTGAACTCTGGAACATTTTACGAAAAGATTGCCTCCTCTGTCCACCAGTTCTACAGTCTCCAGCCACCTCAAACCCAGGCCAAGCCTGGTTTGCAAAAAGGTGTATGTTGTTTGGTTGAAGGTCTTAAGAAAAAGCCCCTTCTCCCTTTACAATGATTTTAACCAAAGAATTCTAATGCATTAGGAGGGTGAGGGGAAATCAAGAATCCCAGCCCCATCTCACCTTTATTTTTGTCGTAAGTTTTAATTGTAAGATTGGAAGGTACAGGAAGCTGTATAAGACCATTTCATTCTTAAGCATGTCAGTCCCAGAAGCCTTTGACCCATAAGAAAGTTAGTACACAACTCAGCTGAGTCTGAGTGAATCTGGCACCCACGAGACTTACATTTAATTTAAGCAGAAAAAAGTGCTGGACAAGCCCACGTGAGTGCTGACAGTCCTTGCGGATACGCACGTGTTTGGTCTCTGCCTTGTGCTTTTTTGAGCAAGCCCTTGAAGAGCTCACTGTGCAGGTGTTGAGTCTCAGCGCTTCCTCAGCCAGAGGGGTTTATTGCCCTGCGAGGGAGAGCTGTGAGCCAGCAGAACCAAATCAGTGGCCTTTGTATTTTGCATGTTTTCTAGTGTCTTATTTTGAAGATTTGGCATGGGGAGAGGGGAGATGAAGTTCAAAGTAAAGGGGAATTGGTTCTGGAACTGGGGTACTTTGTATCAGGAACAGCATCTGTCCTGGACATGTAGCAACTGCTGCCTTAGACGTGGGTACATTGACTTCTGATGAACTCCATGCCTTTGGAGGTTATCTTTTCCACACACCTAACCAGGGCCAGCCAGAGGGGATTGGCACCACTGACCAAACCACTGCCTACCAGCTGCTTGGGGCATGGTTTTGGTACCATGGCAAGAGCAGGTGGGCAATAAATGAGAATCCACACCCTAGGAAGAGATGGGAGATGTGAGGCACCCAGACATGCACCTGTGCTGTTCTGCCACTGCCCCAAGAATCAGGGGAATCTCTGGACTGATGTCTTTTTTGCTAAAATGAGAGGAAAATAGCTGTCTCGCCCGGTTGCTCCTGTCATTGTCTCCTCCTTAATTCAAAGCTGTGCTGCACTGCCGCTCACACGTGTGTTTCTTCCTTAGCCTGGCCCTTCTCATCCCCTGAAGTCATTATTCTACTTTCTCTACTTGTAATATGGCACTGAAGAATGAGAACCTAAAGTCTTAGAAAATCGGAACTTGGGAAAAAGAAGTCTAACTGGCATGGTTTGATGAATTCCTTTACCTTTTTCCCCGTAAAGCAAAGTGATTTTCTTTCCTAGTGCTATATAATAGTTCTTTAATAAGTGAAACTTTTGCTGCTACTGTCCTGGGTTTACATCAGTTTTTTCTTTTCCTTAAGAGTAATTTCTATTCTGTACTCCTTTGATGACTGTTAATTTCTATTAAATGCAGGAAGGGGTGAGCCTGTGCTGTCTTCTCTTACTGCCCTCCTCACCCTACCACCAAATGACACACTAACTTCTAACTTCCCGAGCCTGTTGGCAAGTACATGAGATCCATGGAACGGGCTCACCAGAAGCTACCCTTGTCCTTTCTCACCAAGCTGTAGCCCTCGGAGCTGGCCCTGAGATCTGCCACTGCCCACTCCTAAGGTTACTGTAGGGGAGAGAGGCCTTCTCAGTTCTGCCTTTCTCCGTTCTTGTTTTCTGACTTGGCCTTCAGATGCTTCCCACTCTGGCCTCCTTCCTGTTCTTTCCAGGAGTTTGTCCAGGTAGAATCGCTGCTGCGCGTGTCTCCCAGCTGCTCTGCTCACCTTTGTCCCCTTCCCAGTGACCCTGAGAGCGCAGACCTGAGTACCAAGGCCTGTGCAGAGCTCAGAACTGTGAGGACTGCCCCAGCCTGTCAGACTCTGCTGGGGTCTGCAGAGGTGGAGGGGTGGTGCTGCTGGAGACATTCTTCTCCAAACCAGGCTCTGGTCCCTGTACTCCTCCCCACCGAAGGGAGTGGACGTTCAGCCTTCCCTGGAGTGCCGCGGTGTGCGGGACTGCTGCTGGCTGCTCTCTTCAGATGCCGAGCCAGCCCCTGGGGCCCACAGCGGCCATTGTGGCGACTTAACACAGGGTTCCATTAGCTGTCCAAGCGACTGTGTTCCAGCCCAGTCCTGCACCTGGGGATGAGGGGAGGGGGTTAATCAAATGAATAAAATCCAGAGTGGCAGTAGAGGATTCCTTTTGCTTTAAAATCTTTGGACTAAAAATAAAAAATGTTTTTATATATAAATATATAAATTGTTATGTAACTATTATTGTTTCCTGTATGTTCTAATTTTGTTTTATGATGTAATTAAAGGAAATAAGCTGTGAAGATTTCATTTTCTTGTGAGAAAAGCCTGGCTTGGGTCTGTGACTCTTAACTTCCTTGAGCCCTAGAACTGCAGAGCCTCCTGAAACTGGATGAGGGAACTTCTTTCTGGCATCCTGACCTTTCTAGTAGCCTTTATTTAATGCTCATTTATTTTTTATTTAATCCTCTTTTAATAGCCATTACTTAATAGCCTGGACTCCACTTGTCCTCAGGAAACACAGGAAGACATGAAATAAATCAGAATCGCCTTAATTAGTTTGATAGTTAAAATTCAACTTGAGGTCTTTGTCTCTGTATTTGTTGCAGGTGGTCAAACCCACAAGCTCAGGAGTCAGCCTGCCTGAGTTCATGTCCGCACCACAGACTGCCCCTAACACCCCACACATACCCGGCTCAGACCTTCGTGCTAAGATGGGCTAACAGTACCTGCTTTACACAGCTATGAAGATTAAATGGAGGAAGGAGGCTTCTAGGGCTCATAAGCATAGGTAAATGCAACAGGGTCCCAATCCTTTTGGAAGAGATGAGCAGTAGAGCCAAATCAACCTAATTTAAAAAAAATTTTTTTTTGAGAGGTAGAGTTACAGATGGAGAGAGAGAGAAAGGTCTTCCATCTGCTGGTTCACTCCCGGAATGACCGCAGTGGGCCAATCTGAAGCCAGGAGCCAGGAGCTTCTTCCAGGTCTCCCACGTGGGTGCAGGGGCCCAAGGACTTGGGCCATCCTCCACTGCTTTCCCAGGCCACAGCAGAGAGCTGGATCAGAAGTGGAGCAGCCGGGACTTGAACCAGAGCTCATATGAGATACTGGCACTGCAGGTGGAGAATTAACCCACTGTGCCATGGCGCCAGCCTCTCAACCTAAATTTAAAACTGACATTACCTGCCTTGGGGAGCCCAGTGGAAAAATAAGGCCACTTAACATTCACTCATTATCCTGCAGAAGGCATAGGCCTGGACTGGCGTAGTTGTTAGGGGCCAACGTAGTCCCTTCAGGGATGTAGGCAGGTGTCTGCTGAACTGTCCACATTATGAGTCAGAGGGGCCTGCAGGTTAAGCCACCACCACTTGCAGAAGATGGGCCCCTGCCATGCACATGGGAGACCTGGAAGAAGCTCCTGACTTTGGCCTGACCTAGCCCCAGTCATTGTAGCCTTTTAGTGAGTGAATTAGCAGATAGAAAACCTCTGTCTCTCCTCTCTAACTCTGCCTTTCAAATAAATAACTCAGCAAAATGAGCACTACATGGAAACAGGTAAATGAACAGTAAGTAAATGTGTAGGCTTTTTAAGAGGATTCCTTGGCCTTTAAAAAAAATGTATTTATTTGACAGAGAAAAAAAGCTGGTTCACTTCCCAAATGGCCATGTTAGCCAGGGCTGGGCCAGGCCAAAGCCAGGAGCCAGGAACTCCATCCTGGTTTTCCACATGAGTGGCAGGGGCCCAAGTACTTAGGCCATCATCCACTGCCTGGCCAGACTCTGTTTCAAGATTTTCATAGTAAAACTTCAAGGGAGAGGGCGATGGGGGGGGGGGGGGGACCCAGTAGCATTTCTTTTAAGAAAGCTCTTGTTTAATTTAAAATTGCTTTTGTTTTAAGATTTATTTATTTGAAAAAGTTACAAAGCGCTTCCATCTGTTGGTTGCAATGGCCAGTGCTAGGCCAGGCCAAAGCCAAGAGCCAGGAACTTCATCTTGATCTCCCACTTGGGTCATCCTCCAGTTCTTTTCCTAGGCTGTTAGCAGGGAGCTGGATTGGAAGTCGAACAGCCAGGACACAAACTGGTGCCCATATGGGATGCTAGCACTGCAGGCACCAGCTTTCCCTGATATGCCACAACACCAGCCCTCTGCTGCACTCTTAATCCAGCTTCCTGCTAATGCATACCTTGGGAGGCAGCAGGTAATGGCTCAAGTAGTTTGGTGCTTGCCACACACATGGGAAACCCAGATGGAATTCCAGGCAGGCTCCTGGCTTTGGCCTGACCCAACCCAGGCTGTTGCAGGCATTTGGGAAGTTCACCAACAGATGGGAGATATAGTCTCATTTCCCGCTCACTCGCGCTCTCTGCCTTTCAAATGAGTAACCTTTTAAAAGTGAATACATATAGAAACAGACAACTTTAGATTACCACCTGATGAGATAAACAGTCTATTTCAGGGGTGGGTGTTTGCTGCCTGAGGCACCTGCATCCTACATCGGAGTACCCGAATTCAAGGCCCAGTTCCACTCCTGATTCCATCTTTCTACTAATGCAGACTCTGGGAGGCAACAGGTGAGGGCTCAAGTACTTGAGTCCCTGCCACCCATGTGGGAGACCTGGACTAACTTTCCAGCTCCCAGCTTCAATCTGGTCCAGCCCCAGTAATTGAGGGCATTAGGGGAGTGAATCAGTAAATGGATTTCCCTCCCTCCCTCTTTCTCTCTCTTCCCCACTTACTTTTAAATAAATACAAGTTTAAATTTAAATCAGTTTCAAGTGGATTACAAACCTAAAAGTGAACCATATGCATAGAAAATTGCATGACATAAATATTTATTAATACCTAAAAGAATTTAAATTTGAGAGAGAGATGCACACAACAGCCCAGACTGTAATTCAATCCAAGTATCCCATGTGAGTGGCAGGAAGCTGTCGCTGAAGCCAGGAGTTTGAGGTGGGTATCAGACCCAGGAAGTCCACTATGGGACCTGAGCGTCCTAACCAGGAGGCCAACCTCATGGCCCCAGCTGCAGCTGATAAATTAAAGATCGTTGCTAGAGGATAGCTGCAGTGCTTCCCAAATCCCTGACACGCTGGTGTTGAATAGGCACGAGGATGTGAATGTTGGATGGTCGTTTGAGGCTTTAGTAATTAGTTTTTGTCCAAACTAATTGGAAAATAATTCCAGCCAGATTTATTTATTCCCTTGCCCCAGACCCCATCGTTTGCCCTAGTTTGTAGTTTAAGTAGAGAACATTTCCCCTTGGAGCCATAAAGCCAAAGAAATTGAACAAGCATGGAACAATACATTGAACGTATATACCTTCTAAAAATTAACTTTAAACTCTTCAAAAAGTCAGGGGGAAGATTCTAACATGGATTAGCTCACGTGTAGTGTTCCCCGGCCAGCGCTGCTCACCACCACACTGCCAGGGTTTTCTGCCTCAGCTTGGCCAGCTTAGGAGAGTGGGCAAGGGGAGCTATGGTCAGGGTCCAACAACACGGCTACTGAGCAGAAAGCAGAGTGAGGCTGGAGGCCCTTTGCCCCCTCCCCAGGGATGAGATGCAGAATGACCTGGCTCTTGGCCTGGAGCCTGGGGCACCCGCTGAGGATTTTGACAAGGCTCCTGGTCAACACAGAATCAGGCTGGCCTGGGTCTCCTCCGCTCACCGGGGAGTGCCTAGGTCAGAACCACGGGGCAGCCTTGTGGATTCGGCACTGAAGCAGTGAGAAGGGCGCCACCGGGATGCGGCAGGTTCCCGACCTCCGAGCCCCTGCGGTGCGTCCGCCGCACACCAGTGCTGCTCCCACCCTGCTGCAGTCCCCCTGGGCAGCCTCCCCCCGTGCCGTGTGCCAGGTGAGCAGCTCTGGGGAGCAGGACAGGTAGAAGGTAGGCATCCGAACCCCAGGCCACAGCACACTGCTCCGAGGTGCTCTGCCAGCTGGGGTCACCTTGCTTGTATGACTCCTGGGGAAGGCAGGGCGCTGACTCTGCCCCACTCGGAACTCTGCCACAACAGAAACAAGCCAGTTCTTTCACTCATGAGCGTCCATCTGTTGCCTTGCATTTTCCTGTGAGTGCTGTGGATCCCTGACCCTTAGATACAAAGCTGGTGTTGAGCACATGTTGAGCAGTTGGCTGGGACGCATACCTCCAACCCCCTCTCCACCTGACCCAGCACCTCTTCCTCTTATCTAGGAGACAGAATATGCTGCGAACACTGTGTTTAAACCCAGCCAGACACTCTCCCTCTCACCACAGCCACAGAGCATGGTTCATCCTTATGATTCCTGACTGCCTGGAAGGGAGACAGGGTCCCAGAGACAGTTCTGTCCCAAGAGCGCAACAGTAGGGCGGGGCGAAGGGGTGGGGGTAGCCCAGCAGAATGAGACTGCCCCCTGGGCCCTGGTGGGAAGGTGGTGGATCGGATTGGCTGGGCGAGCCCAGAGCTCTGCCAGTGTCCCCATCGGCTCCACTGCACTTGATGAAAGCCTGGGACATGGGCGGCACAGTGGCAGTGGTTGGGGGGTGGGGGGCAGACATCAGCCTAGAAGGACACGGGATTCCTGGGGGAGGGAGAGCACTGGTCACTGCCTTACCGGGCAGGGGCAGGAGAAGCTACTTCACAAGCTCTCATTCCTCACCTTGGCCGAGGCCATGGACGCCTGCGTAGGAATGAAACCCGGTACAACAAGATGATCATGTTCTAATCGCCCAGGCTCATGGGGTGACAAAACAGGAGGGGGTGGAGGGCCAGGAGGGGTGCCAAGGAAGGCCCTCTCCCAGACCACAGGAGGTTTCCTGCAGCCACACCTGAGTTCCTCGTCTTCTGGAGAGGGAGGCTGGAGCCTCAGCTGAGCCCGGCTCAGGAACCGCGGCGTCTCGCCGGGAGCCACGTGCAGTCAGCCGGTGGCGGTCAGGCCCGGGCCAGGGCTGGGGAGCAGCTTGTCAGCCTCATACCTCAGCTCCCAGGTCAGCCTCCACCCCTAGGAGAGACCCCGGCCACCTCCCAGGTCCCCAGGGAAGGCTCCAGGCAGTTCACAGGTGCTTATTAAATACTGGACCCTGCGGGGAGACAGAAAAACCAGCAACTGAGTGATGCCACTGGGATGGCCACAGGAGCCTAACTCCGACCTTGTCCTGTGCCAGCCTTGCTCTGTGAGCCTGGTCTGGGCTTGCTCGGCTGGAGCAGGGCAGGAGTGTGGGACCTTCTGTGAGCCCCCTGCGAGTCTGGCTGGGAGGGGCCACCGCAGTGGGAGGGGGAGCCTGGTGGGCAGTGCTCAGCACCCAGCTCTCAGAGTGTTGAGGCGGGTCCATCAG